CTCAGGGCCCAGAACGCTGGAACTGACAAGGAAACACCTTATTGGCAGCTGCTTTCTGGGCTGCTCATCTCTAAGGCCGGGATCCCTGTTCCAGGTGGCCAGGGTTGCACAGCCTTGCCATCTGAAGAGTGGCCAGGTCACCAGGAAAGCAGAGGTCCACTGGATCCTGCTGCGAGTACGTGGAGGACAAGGGTGAGGGTGCTAAGGATTTTTGTTTCTATCCTAAGGTCCACCGCGGTGGGGAGGGGCTTGGGGGACAGTGTGCTTGAGTGCTAGGTTAATGATGGCTGTTCATTAAGAATACCATCTGGCTTCTCTGTGACAGACTGGAGGTGGCCAGGTAGTAGGCTCCTTGTAGCACATGAGGTGACCTGTGGTGTCAGTCTGGACAAAGCAGTTCTTGTGGATAAGGAAAGATCAACAATGGGACCAATGATTCTTTTTTTTTCCCCCTGAGGCTCAGGCTAGCTTAGAACTCACTATTGGCCCTGGCTGGTCTCTAACTTGCAGCAATTCTCCTGTCTACCTCCTCTGTGCCAGGGATACAGAGTTATAGCTATGGGCCACTAGGCCCACCTTCAGTGAGGGAAAAGATGGTATCAAAGAAGCCTACCTAGGGCCAGCAAGATGGCTCAGTAGCTTAAGGCACTGATCAAGCCTGATGACCCGAGTTTGGATCCCCAAGACCCACAGGGTGGAAGGAGGGAACTGACTTCTGCAAATTGAATTGTCCTCTGACCTCCACACATAAATCATGGTGTGTGCATTCGTGTACACATGCTCAAGCACACAGACACACACAGACACACACACACACACACACACACATTTTTAAACCATGCTTGGGTACTGGGTAACTTGCAGAATTTTGGGGAGACCTGGTGCTAGGGAAGATGCTGACTACGATTGTGCATGCCCCGGGGAAGGATGGCCTCTGAGACATGTCTTTAAGGTGCTGAGGAGGCTGTCAGCATGACTTGTGGGCGGGCCTTTTTCCCTGGCTAGGAACCCACCAAAGGGGCTTCTCCTTTACCCCATGCTGAAATTGCTCTCAAGCATTTATAGAGCTCACATCAGATATGGGCCAATGACTGTAGCCTAGGAGAAAGTGTGAGCCTCTATGTCCCTCTGTGCATATAGGTCTTTACGTACTTCATATCTGAGACTTGGAACTAGGAGGTTTTGCCTGGATTACACACCAGGCGTTCTCTCAACATGATCATATAGCAGAACAAAGGGACATGGCTAAGGTGGGAGGTGATGGAGGCGAGGTGCTGCGCGGGTAACATGAGAGGTTGTTAGGGTTGAGGGGCTCAGCAGGGAGAAGGTGAGAACAGAAGCAGAAGGGGAACTGGTGGGGCAATGTGGGGTCTAGCAGCTCCAGCCCAGGGAGCAGTGGAGGTTGGTAGAGATCTGGCTGGAGAGAGAAGGCATGGCATTGGGTTGTGAGTACAGGGGAGTCACAGATGGCGCTGCAGCAGGGCAGTACAGTGCAGAAGGCAAGGGTGAGGAGCCATTGAAGCGGCTGTCGCTGTGGGACAGACATGGCTGTTAGGAGCTTCAGGAGAGGGAGGAGTGAGACTGACATTGCTGGCGAAGGCACAGCCTTCAAGCTGTAGCAGAAGCAGGATGAGTGTGAACATCAATATTATCAGCAAGCATGTAACTGAGCATGGAGAAATGCTTCAAGGACTAGATGACTCAGAAGCAACCTGGCAGTTATTTGCAGGTTCAGTGGTATTTTAGAGCTCCAGAAGACATCATTTCTCTATTTGATGATCGTCCTGCAATAACCAGCCATTCTACAATCCTCTTTAGTGATGGCGCCAAGGGAACCTCTGGTCCCTAGTCTCCCATTTTCTTGGCTAGCAAACATTGAAATAAGGGCCACAAAGAGAGGGACCCTGGATGTGGGTTTTCTCTGCTGCCACTCAGAGGTGGTGACAGGAACCTCGTTGAGACCAAAGTCCTGGCCACAGGCTCTACCCTTTTGGCTGTTGGGGGTGAAAATCTGAAGCCAGGAAAAACAGGGCAGGGCTGGCCAAAGGAAAGGTTTAGGGTGTGTGGCGGCAGCTGTCACCACCCATGGAAAGTAACCAAGGCTGGAGGGGCTGTTCTGAGCCAGGCATAAATAAGGGGTTAGGAGAAAACAAAGTCCTAGTCCTTGGATCACAAGTTTGGGTGCTGGAAGGGGCTACTTCTGCCTTGGAGGCATCATCCGCAACACAACTGCTTACTGTTCTGAAATAACACTGGACTGGACCACATCCTTCCTCCCCAAAACTTTCCTGATGCTACATTTATGCTCTGGGAAGTGCAGCCTGGGTGCGAGATGCAGCTGCTCACCACTCCTGCACCCACAGCAGACATTATTAAACAATTACCAATCTGGTGCAAGATGGCTCAGCACTGGCCTCTAGGCAGTCATTACCAATTGCTCTGGTTTGGATGTGAAACATCCCCTGTCAAACGATGATGTTTGGGGAAGTTGTGGAACCTTTAGGAAGTGGGCCTACCTAAAGGAAGTGATTTAGCAGGGAGTGGGGCTTGGAGATTACAGCCTACTTTTATACTTCTGACCCAACCTCTGTTTTCTGGCCAATGCCATGTGAACAAACAGCCACTCACATTCCTGCTGCTACCAAACCTAAGAGCTGCCCACAATGATGGATGGTGTCATCCCGAATTGTGAGCCAAAATAAGCCTCTCTACTATTAAAGTGCTTTTGTCAGGTATTCGATTAAAGGAGAGGAAAGTAAATAACAAGCTGTCAATCATCCGCAACATAAACACATAGGAACTGAGCCTGGCTCTTTGCAGTTTTCTACCCTAATCCTTATTCATTCATCTGTCTTCACGTCCTTAAACTGCTGGTCAACTCCAGATGAACCCGTCTCCTCATTCCTCAAAGCTTTCGTTCTGAGTGTTCCCTAGAAGGACCTTAGATCTGACTATTGCTGGATCTCCAAGGTTGTTTCTCCCGCCTTCCATGGAAATAAAGACTTACTGTCTTTTTGAGATGGGGCTGGCCTTGAACTTGCCATATAGCTGAGGCCTACCTTGAACTCCTGATAGTACCGGTGCTGAGATTACAGGCATGTCCCATGACATGCCTGTAATCTCAGCACCGGTACTATCAGGAGTATGTGAGCCACCTAGCACATGTCTGCCTGGCTTTCCCTGGGCCATCCTGTAACTAAAGTCTTGCCAGAGGTAGGCGAACAGGACTGAAATGGAGGACCCTGCCTCAACTTCTAACCATCTGCTCCCTGCTCGCCCCACTCCTTTCCTGCTGGTGAAAGCCTACGCAGCTGCCAGGCTTCAGAGAAGACACCACAGGACACAGATAGCAGAGCCACCTCCCTGCCCTGCACCATGCTCCTGTGACACACTCAGTAAAGGATACTTTCCCTCTGAAGCCCCTTACTTAGACTCTGGTCATGGTGGCAGATAAGCCTGTACCCTTATGGTGTATACCTTCTAGCTTGCTTCTTTGTTCTGTATGGCTGACCTCCACTGTCACCTCTTAGTGCTCCAGACTTCTTGGGGCCTCTTGGTCCTTCGTAGCACCCTCACAGAATGTCTGAACCACATCCACTGACTTGGCCAAAACAACTTCTCCTCTCCCCTTCCATCCATCTTCCAGCCATGTGCCTGCGGTGGGGCTGACATGCCGGTGGACTACATCTCCCTGCATTCCCACTGCAGCTGCCCAAACTCTCCAGACTAATGTTGGAGGTCCCAGCCTCCCAGTCCGAGGCAGAAGGGATGGGTCCCACAGCAGCGCTCCGGGCGCCAGCCCCACCCAGCCCCAGCAGGACGACATGCCTGAAGGAGCTGTTTCCTTGCCAGTTGGAGCCTATATTGTCCTGCTCCTCATTTGTCGGTAAGAACAGGGACAGAGAATGGGTGAACTTCCCTGATCTTTGTATTGGCCTCAAGTGGTCTAGGAAACCCCACAGTACGTATATCTTTTCTCAGGACCCACCTCCTGCCCTGTGTGCTTTGCGAATAGCCCACACCCATTTCTCAACTTCTGGTTGCTATGACCTTCCTCCTTGAGGCTTGACCTCTGGCATCCTGCCCCAAGGCAGTGAGCCCATCACTGCCCTGGCAAACAGTATATGTGGCAGGATGCTAGGAGAGAGCTATTTTGGGGAGGGAGGATCTCAGGAGGATGCTGGCGAGGTCAAGGGAAGGAGGCAGGTTTTCTGCTCTCGATTGTCCCGAGCTTTCTGGATGCTGCCCAGGGACCCAGGGCTGCCACGGGGAAGAGCACACCCACCACAGGACTCCAGCTTTGGCCTCTCTTGACCACAGAAGCCAAAGGGGGCAGGAGTGGGTTTGCAAGACCTGATCCATCAGCCACCGTAGGCAGAAAGTGTTTATTTGCTGTGACCAACAGAGAGAATTTCAGGACAGGCAAGACTAAAAAGGTACATGCAGGGAAACAGATGAAGTGTATTTATGATGGGTGGAGATTAGGAGGAAGGCTCTAACCAGTGCTCTATTAACATTCATTGAGCAACTACCGTATACAAGGGTATACAGTGTAATAATTTGTGTTTGTATATTTTACAATAGCATCAGGAGCCATGAAGAGATTTGTAAACTCTGACTCCAAGACAATGACCTAAAATGAAGGGTTCAGGTACAGGTGGGGGTTGGGGAGGGCTCCCCTGATCTGTTTGAGGACTTGCATGCATCAGGAATGCTCCATTTCCCCTCACCTCTTTTGACCATGAGTTTTTGTTTTGTTTTTCACAACAGGGTCTCTTGTGAGTCCCGGGCTAGCCTCTGACTCACTGTGAAGCAGAGGATGGCCTTGAACTCCTGACCCTCCTGCCTCCACCTCCTGATTGCTAGAATGATATGAACGAGCCACCGCACTTGGTACATATATGCTGGGAACAGAACCCAGGGCTTCATGCATGCTGCACCTCGCCAGCGGAGCCACATTCCCAGCCGTTCTTTATCATCTTGAGGGAGGGTCACCACCACTATGAGGCGCCTACTGCTTGCACACAGTAGGCGTCACCTGGGGACGGTGACAAGAGTGGCTGTTAGGCAGAGCAGTTGATAGTCTTGTTAAGGGAATTCTTTTGCCATGGGGTGCGATGGCAGGTGACTCACCAGCCAACACTGTCCCCAGTGCCAGAATATGATAGTTGAGACAAGAGACAACCGAGGAAAATTAATAATAATAATAATAATAATAATAATAATAGTTGTAATAATGCTTAATATCAGGCAAGGCACTAACAAGTCAGGGAACAAGCCCAGTGGCCTTTATCCTTGTTTCAGACAAAGCAACTGAGGCACATAGTTCAGAAACCCTGAAGGGCTACACAGCAGGTAAATGTCAGAGATAGATTTCAAACCTGTCTTCCATGGTACCACTCTTGTCTAAGACAACAGACAAAAATCACACAGAACTTGGGTAGCCCCAGAAATCTCCCCAGACCCTGTCCTCGTCATCACCTACATCTCAGCTTGTTAATCTTGGCATCTCACAGATCTAGCAGAAAGCTTTCTTGGACTCCAGGGCCCAATCTCCCAAGCTCAGAGAGAGAAGCTGGCTTCCTGGGGTTCTGGACACCCCTTTAATTAATGCAGGCAAGCAGCTTGTGATGGACCAGTGACCCTTATCACACCCTCACTTCTGGATAGTGCACCATCCCATTCACAGCTGGCTACCACGAACCTCCACTGCTTGTATGCTTAGCATGCCGGCTAGTCATTACTGTCAGGTACAGCGGATTTAGACTCACCATGGAAACACATATCTGAGTGTGTCTGGGAGGGCATTTCCAGAGAGGCTCAGCTAGACCCACCCTAGGCACCATCCCCACAGGCTAGGATTCCAGAATGAAAAGAAAAGCACTAGAACCCAACACCAAACCTGATGCCTGCTCTGAGCAGTTGCTCCCCACACAGCTTTGACTACACAAAGAGACGGTTGAGGAGGAGATCGCGTGAGCCAAGGCCCCGTGGCATCCTGGCTCAACTCATGCAAGCTCAGAAAACAGCAAAGGCAGAATTTGACTCCAGTTTATACATTCAGCACCCTGGGGCCACCCACTCATTCAGGTGACACCCATTCTTGTGCACCTACTATGCTGTCAGAAACTGGAGGTACAACAGAGGCGTGGTGAGAAGAGTCCCCACATTTGCTGGGCTGATTTTCCCTCAGACTCTGCAAAGCTCGTAATGAATTTCAAAACGAGGCCACGTCCACCAAGTGCTACACTTTCAGTTAATCTACTTCAGAGAGTACTGGTTGTGCAGAGGAATTAATGAATGTATGTGTTTAGGTTAATGAATGATGGATGGGTGTATGAATGGAGTGGGGGGGCAGGGAGAGATAGGAATGGAAGAAGGGAAGGATGGAGAGAAGGATAAAAGACAGGCAGACTCATCCACAGGAAGATGGAAAGTAACTAAATGAGAAGTGGGAGCCGAGCGGGACAGGAACACAAGAAGGACTTCTGGATGTGGTGGCTGACCAAGAGAGACCAGTCTGACCTTAACCACTCACAGAGCTCCTTACCTGGTGGGCAGTTGCATCCTGGAGACATCTTCGGGGCCTCCCGGCGCCTGCGTGAGTAGAACTTCCATTTCTGCACAAAAAAGACACAAGAAATCACCAGGAGCTCACAAAGCCTTGGGAAGTCAGCACGGGGCATGGAGGGGAGTGTGGGTGGGAGGAGGGACCAGCCAGGGGGTGGGGGTGGGGAGGAAGGGACTGTTCTTGGATCAAAGCCCTCTGCCTGGCTCATGGACCTCCACTGGCCACATGCTGGCCTGATGGTCTTTGAAGAACTCTCAAACACTGCTCATGTGGGTGACAAGAAACAGGATAACGCTCATCGTGGTCATCGTGACATCTGGTATCTTCAGCACACCCTGCCCAGCGTCCTATGAACTAGTGGTTACCATGGTGACTTGGTGGCACATGTTTCTTAGCTCTGTGCTGCTGTTCTCCTTCTCCAGTTAGGTGCAAAGTTCACCCCCACAAGGCCAGCACAGGAAGGTGGTCGGGGGTGGGTGATAGGGGCCTGGGGTCCGTGAGTAAGCCCTGTAACCCCTCTCCACCAAACCTCTTGTTCCACACTTTGAAATCACAGAGCTTCGGGAGACCCAAAAGAGGTGGGATACTTCACCTTCTAAGGAGTTGTGTGCACGTGACAACAATCACTTCTGTGCAAAATGGCCGCACATGGTAGGGTGTTTGCGGGCCAGTATCTGTGGGCCCTCTCTGTAGAGGGCTGTGTGCCTCATGCCTTACGTAGGACTTTTAGGTTTTGGTTTTGTTTTGTTTTCCTTTGAAGACAGGGTTTCTCTGTGTAACAATCATGGCTGTCCTAGAATTCCATTTGTAGACCAGGCTGGCCTTGAACTTGCAGAGATCTGCCTTCCATGAGACTCAAGTGAGCCTTGTGTCTTAGTTAGGGTTTCCAGTGTTGTGAAAAGACCCCATGACCAAGGCAACTCTTACAGAGTTCACTATTTAATTGGGGCTGGCTTATAGTTTCAGAAGTTTAGTCCATTACTGTCATGGTAGGAAGCATGACAACATAAAGCCCAACATATTGCTGGAGATGGAGCCAAGAGTACTACATCTTAATCCAAAAGCAGCAGAAGGAGACTGTGTTACACTGAATGTAGTGTGAGCGTGCACGCGCATGCGCGCGCATACACACACATGCATATATGTGAGACTCTAAAGCTGCTTCCTCCAACGAGGCCACACCTACTCCAAGAAGGCCATACCTCCTAACAGTGTCACTCCCTGTGGGCCAAGCACTAAAACACATGAGTCTATGTGGCCATTCCTCTTCAGACCACCGCACCTCGCTAGGTGGTCAGCCTGGGTAGCTCCAGGGTTGACTGAGACTCCACTTCTCCAGCTCTGTCACTCACAGCACACACTGTGTGTTTCACAGGCTTTAGGTCAGCTCCACACCACAGCTGTCCTTGGTGGTCATCCTCCGGTCCTGGCATCTCCGCAGGTTGCACCATGACCAGCAGCCTGCGTTTTCTGACCCTGCCACAAGGCAGCAAGCCTCAACTTTTCCCCATGACCCCGTCAATCCTAGGGTCTCCACTTCAGCTGAAGCTGTACCTTCTTCACCAGTGGCCTCCTCTGGCCTCTGGTGGTGCTAAGCTTTAGCTGCAGCCCATGACCCTGTCAGTGCAGAAGCTCTCATGTCGCCAAGACCAGTAACATGTGGGTGACTCTAACACATTTACCGACTTTGGCCTGCCACATGAGCTACAGCCTTGGCCCCTCTGGATAATCCCCAAAGATTCACCTCCATGATGCTGGGCTCTTAATTCCTGCTACTTTCTTAGCTCTAGCTGAAGAGCTTTGACTGTCCCAGCAAAACAAAGGATTCACTTGAGTGGCACTGGCCTCTTGTTAATCACAGCTCACCAGACACCAGAGATGCTCAATTCCAAATGTCACATAAAAGCCATGACAGGATCTTTGAAGAACGTCCTTCTGAAGCTTCATAAGCTGGCCTCCACTGTCTGCACCGCCTTCATCATCCTCTTCTGAGACCCCACAGATCAGTCTGGTAAGCTCAAGTATTCAACAGTATTTTCCAGCCCACAGTTTCAAACTCCTTCCACAGCCTTCCCCCAACAGCATAGCCCCCCTGAACCTGGTTCCAGTGTCTCTCCTGGTTTGCTTTCTGTTGCTGTAGTGAACACCACGACCCAAGGCAACTTGTGGGGAAAAAGTCATAGGTCATCGTGAAGGAAAGTCAGGGCAGAAACTCAAGGCAGAACCCAGGAGATAGATGGTGCAAAAGGCACAGAGGAGTGCTGCTTACTGGCCTGCTCAGCCTGCTTTCTCATTGAACCCAGGACCACCAGCCACAATGGGCTTGGCCCTCTTTTTTTGTATCAATCCCTAATTAAGAAATGCCCTTACAGGCTTGCCTACAGTGCTATCTTATTGAGGCATTTTCTCAGTTGAGGCTCCTTCCTCAACTTTACAACAAAACAAAACAACAACAAAAACCTGACCAGCACACCTGGTGTCTGAGCTAGGGTTTCTGTTGCTGCAATGAAATGTCATGACCAAAGAGCAAGTTGGGGAGGAAAGGGTTTATTCAGCTTACATTTCCACATTGCTGTTCATCACCAAAGGAAGTCAGGACAGGGACTCAAATGGGTCAGAACCTAGAGGCAGGAGCTGATGCAAAGGCCATGGAGTGCTGCTTACTGGCTTGCTCAGCCTGCTTTCTTATAGAACCCAGGACCATCTTGCCCAGAGATGCCCTCTCCTATTGATCATTAGTTGAGAAAATGCCTTACAGGTAGATCTCATGAGGCATTTTCTCAAAAGATGTTCCTTCCTCTCTGATGTCTCTAGCTTCTGTCAAAACCAGACAGTACACCTGGCTACCTCCACCCCTCCCCACCCGGCAGAAGATTTCCTTTCGGTTGCTGATCACCCCTCTGGGATACTGAGTCTGGTGGTCAATCCTCATCCTCCTTGACCTGTGGCAGTACTTACACACTTCTCCTCCCCCTCCTCTGTGCAAACAGTTCTGCACTTGACTCCCAGGAAGCCATGCTTTCTACATTCCACTTCTACCCTGGCTGTTCCCTCTATTTCTCCTTTGCTGGGTCCATCTTATCTACTCAACACCTAAATGTTTCAGGTCACAGGACCATGGTCCAGGGCCTGACCTCTGTCCTCTATACACTGGCTCTCCAAGACATTGCCTAGTCTAAGGTCTTCAGTGTTGTCTATGGGTGTCTATAGGTGTTCTATTGCTGTGAAGAGACACGATGGTCAAGGCAACTCTTCTAAAAGAAAGCATCTCATTGGGGCTTCTTACAGTTTCAGAGGCTTAGGCTGTTTTGATCATGCAGGGAGCGTGGTGGCAAGCAAACACGGTGCTGGAGAAGCAGCTGAGAGCTACATCCTCATCCTCAATCAGAGAGACTGAGAGAGTGAGAGCGAGAGCCAGAAAGTGAGAGCAAGAGAGTAGGAAAGAGGGAGGGAGAGGGAGAGAGAAAGAGAGAGAGAGAGAGAGGGCCTGGGCCTGACATGGGCTTTTGAAACTCCAAAGCCCACTTCCAATGACACACTTCCTCCAACAAGGCCACACTTCCTAATCCTTCTAATCCATTCAAACATTCAAACAGTTCTACTCCCTGGAGACTAAGCATTCAAATATATGAGCCTATAGGGTCTCTTCTTACTTAAACCAGTATAAAGATTAAGGACAGCCCCCTATCCCCACCTCTAGCCTAGACCTTCTTCTGGGGCATATAACCAGCTGCTTTTCTGACAAGTTACTCTTTGCCACCTTTGAGCAGGGTCTCCTTAGACTGAGCCCCCAGCCTGCTGCCTTATCCCTCCCATACATGTCCCATCAGAGCCAGCTCAGTTTCTCCCACTCTTCAACACAGCACCGATGACTCCCTTCCCACCATACCCAGCCAGCGAACACCTCCATCCTCCGCCTTGTGGACACAGGGCATCAGTCTTTTTCCCCAACCCCAGCACTACCACCTGCTCTAGACACAACTCAAGCCCAATGACCTTGAAAATCTACTGCCCACACCCCACATCCAACCTGGACCCAGCAGCCCCATTCTCAGCAGCTGCCCTAGTCACCATCTCTCCAGGTTTCCTCCTACCCCAGGGCCTTTGCACTAGTGATTACTCTCTTTCTAGGATGTTCTTTTTCAAGCTGTCCACTTGGCATTCTCCTGATGAGACCCTCCTTGCTTCATGTCCCCAGTCCTACATACTTCTTGTCCCCTTTCCTCCTTTATTTTCTTCTTTACAGTTTTCTCTCTCATTTGTTGTCTCCCCTTTGCCAGCAGAAGGTACATTCCACAGGAAGATGAACCATACATTCTGTGCTCTTTGTCACCCTGTGCCCAGTGCTTACAACAGAGTCTGACTCACAGCAGGCATTCAGTAAACCCCAGCTGTTTACAAATCAGATGTCACAGTAAGCTTGACTCAACCCCTGCTGCAGCGGGGGGCTGGAGGCCATGGGCTCTGACTCAGTCAGGTGCTATGTGTGGGCCAACCTCACTCAGATGGGAATCAGTGACCCAGGTCACCAAGACACATTCTCCAAGTGGCCGGCATTGGTTGCTTAACCCATTAGCTCTGGCCCCTTAAGTATCAGAATTGGAGAGACCCCAGAGCTGGCTGGAGGTGGGTGGGACCCTTTCTGCAGTCCTGGTGGGGGGATGGACCCCAGCCCCTCTACACAGAGAGGCCCTTTTGCTCTCTTGGCTGGTAGCCAGAGCCTCCTGGAATGCCCTGTGCAGCCAGGGTTGAAACACCACCAGCCTGATGGGTCGCAGCTATTAAAATGCCGGTGTCAGTATCAAAGGGAAGATGCCAGGCAGCCACTCACTTCCCCAGAGAACACAGTTCCAGCCCAGTTTAGGCTTAGGGGCCAATCACTCCCCATGTCCTCGCTCTGGACTCTTAAAGGGACCAGGTGCCTGCCCAACCCTGGCGTCTGTTACACAGGGATCCTGATGGCAGTAGAGAGCAGTGAGACCAATGGCCCAGTGTGACTATCACTCCAGGGTCTGTCCAGGTGCCGAGGCAGTGACAGTGCAGCAAGACAGCAAGCGTCATGGATAATCGACAGTAGTTGAGAGTTATTCCATGGGGTTGGGCTGTAGCCCGGGGGCCTAGTGTTTGCCTGGGATATGAACGAGGTTGTGGCTGAAATCCCCTGCACCAGAAAGAAAAATTAAAATGCCAGGTCTAGTGGGGTGTGTTTATATTCCCAGCACACAGGAGGATCACTGCAACTTGGAGGCTAACCTAGGCTACGCAGAGAGACTGTCCCAGACAAGATGCCACCGAAATGGGTGAGGATCCAGCTCTGTGAACAGAGTGCTCACGTGTACACTGTTACATGCTACATATACACATAGCAATACAGAGCCCTGGGTTCAAGTTCCAGTAGGCAATAAACTGGGCGTGGTGACCCTCGCCTCTAACCCAGACACTTAGAAGGCAGAGGCAGTAGGTAGGACCGGAAGTCCAGGGTCATTCTCCACTGCGCACCACATCTGAAGCTACCTGAGTTACACGAAACCCTGTCTAAAGACACTTGAGGGCAGGCTTGGTGACGCATGCTTTTAATCCCAGCAGGCAGGAGGCAGAGCAGGCTGTTCTCTCTGATTTCTCTCTGGTCTACAAATAAAGCTCCCAGTCACCCCTCAAAAAGAATTGTTGAATTAATTAATTTATTTGTTTCCTTATTTGTTTCTTGAGACAGGGTTTCTCTGTATCCCTGGCTGTCCTGAAACTTGTTCTGCTGACCAGGCTGGCCTCAAACTCATAGAGATCGACCTGCCTCTGCCTCTCAAGTGCTGGGTTTAAACTGCCGCCACCTGATCTTTTTTTTTTTATGACCCATACCATGCACTCCTCACTATGCATAGTGATAAGGATTTTAGGGGGAAATGCCACAACGTAATTAATTTTGATAAATGATCACATGGCTCCTACCTGCCCTTGGGACTATCTGGATCTGGCACAGACTCCAGTGAGTCACCTCTTCTCTGTGCAGCTCTGCAGTATGGAAAGGAGCTTGAGCTGAGGGGGTGGGGCCAGGTTTGTGGGTTCCATCCCAACTGCCCCGTTAAGGTTTCTAAGCAACAGACAAAACATCTGGGCTTCAATACCCTCAGCCATAAAGTGGGCATGGCTTAGTTATCTGCTGCACCAGCCGGACAACTGAACCGCTAGAGGATGGGACAGCAAGAAGAGACTCTGGCCTTGAGGAAGTCTAGTGACTGCTCGGCTGCTGTGGTGTGGGCCAGCTCTGTCTTGAGTGGATGTGCCTCTCCTACTGCCACAGAGGGGCTGGTGTCCCCGTGCTACCCACGGGTACCAACGGGGTCAGTACTAATTGTCCTGTGTTTGCTGTGCCCTTTCCCTCCCGGGGCTCTCCAGTGAACTCTGGGGGTCAGAAGAAAAAATGGCTGTGGACATCACCCAGCAAGACGATCTCTCTCTCTGGCCTGCCCCGTGACTGTGGGCTGGGCCTGGGTAGTACCCACAGTGGAGAGCAGAGGCTCAAACCAGCAGCCCAACGCTAGCTGTGTGATGCAAACCCAGAATGGGGGCAGGGATGGGAGGATGTTGGGGGGGAGTGAGGGGGAGTAGTGGGGCACAGAAGAGGGCTGCGGGGGAAGGGGGGAGAGGCACAAAAGAGTGCCAAGAAAGGGACAGGCTTGTGAGTGTCTGCAGGCCCTGGGGCTGCATCAGATCTGCTAGCTGGGTGAAATCAAAGCAGAGGAAACTCAGACACCCACACACCCACCCACACCCACTCAACCCCAAATAGACTTTCCCAGACTGCTCCAGGGCTGGGGGCCACAAGGAGCCCAAGGAGCCATCTTTCTCCCTCCAGTGTTTGTGTGAGAGCTTGGCGCCTGATCACAGACTCCCGGGCAGGAGGCTGGGGCAGAAGGGTCTCTGGGCGCCTGTGCAGCCTTTTCTTAAGCTCAGGGAAGGGAGCTGCCTGTACCTGTGTGTGACCACTCCAGACTTCATATGGGGAAGACCTTCTTTCCAGCTAACCCCAGGTCTGCCTGTTACCTCTGGGGAGTCAAGGAGTTAGGTAGGTCCTGCAACTGGCTGTGGGCGGGGGTAGCTTGGCAAGGGATACAAGCACCTCAGGAACCCAGGGAAATGAAGCCAGGCCACTGAGGGCACTGGTCCAGGGACAAGAGTCCCAGATAAGGAGAGCTAAGGCTGCTTTTCTCACACACACACACACACACACACACACACACACACACACACACGAAAGGACTAGAGAACAGCTATGCGCTTTGCAGACTGTTCAGAATCAATGGGACCCAGAGGCTGGCCCAGGGGGACGCATACAAAACAATCCAAACCCCATTGTGAATGGGGATGTAGCAGAGGAGTGAGTGGCCAAGAGCTAGTCACACAGTGCTCTGGCTTACACAGGGAGGTGACAGCTGAGGCAGACAGCCGGGCGAGGGGCATGTGCTGAGGACGACTGGAAGCCAGCACAGTGGCACGCTTCTCGGAAACCAGGCAAACTTCCTGTCTAGTCGCCCGTCCTGCATGTGTCACAACCCATCTCACAGGCACGGGTCTGAGGCACAGAGGGCTAAGCGAGAGGGCCAGGCTAGAACCCAGGAAGCCTGGCTTGGAGCCCACACCCCCTTCATACCATATCTGTGATAGATGGAGGTAAAAATATCTGTTAGCCGAATACCAGGAGCATCTCAAAACACATTAACTCCATGTGTGTGACTGCGTGTGTGTATGTACGTATGTGTATATATATGTATGTTTGTACACGTGAGCGTGTATGTGTATTTATATGTATGTATGCATGTTTGTATGTATAGGTGTTTGTGTGTGTGACTGTGTGTATATATATATGTATGTGTTTGTATATATGTGTATATGCACATATGTGAAGTGTGTGTGTGTGTGTGTGTGTGTGTGTGTGTGTGTGTGTGTGTTGGCAGAGGTGCACATGAATAGGTATAAAAGACCAGAGGTTGACATGAGTGGTGTGGTCCTCACTTGCTTTCTGACTTAGTTTTTGATGCAATCTCTTCCTGTACTGGGCTCGCTGACTTGGCTAGGATGGCTAGCCAGAGGGCTCCAGGAATCTTCCTATTTCCACTCACCCAGGGCTAGTGTCGTAGATATGTGCCATCACGTCTGGCTTTTAAAAAAACAAAACAGACAGACAGAAAGCAAGGACGCTAAGGATCCATGCTTTCTTGGCAAAGCACTCCATAGAGTGAGCCATCCCCCTGGCTCCTAATTTTTTAAGTCTAGAAAGAGCCCTCATAGTGGGGCTCTTTGATATTTTTATGATTATCACCCCCCTCTTATGCAGGTGCAGCTCAAGGCACAGAGAGGCATATCAACTTGTTTGAGCTTGCACAGTCCATGTGGACTTGAACCCAACCATATGGGCGCAGAGTCTGGGCAGCACAGGTCAACACAGCTCCGGAAGCCAGGGCAGGCAAGCCGCCTCTGGGTGGAGCAATGGGACTGAAGTTTCCACTGTGACACGTATGGTCACTTTGTGTGGAGTAAGCAGCTGAGCTATGAAGAGAGCTAGGCTGGATAGTGACGGGGAAGAAAACAGGTCTGTGGGAGGCTGGAGCTCACAGATGAGCCCTGTAAGGGTGGCAGAGCCCTCTCCCTTCGATTTAACTTTAGGTGCTTTTCATTCATGCTGGAAGTCAATGGTGGCATGTGGGAGAAGGATCTGGCACTCTGACAAGATGAGGAACACATGAAGGGTGAGATCTGACCGACCGTGGAATAGTCACGTCATAATAACATTGATGGTGAGCTCCCCACCACAGGGGAGTGTAAGTACCTGTTCTGAGACTGCTGCGAGGAGCCCTCAGCTAGCGTCTGGCTTGTTCCTTTCCCTGTGAGGCTTGGGGGTGTGGTGGGCTGGAGGCAGCAGGACCACTCTTGGGTCTCCCCAGTAGCTTCTCCTTCTGCCAGGCCTAGGAATCTTATCACAGGTCCAGAGGGCAGGGGAAGGGAGGTCCCAGTGAGCACCTGTTCACTCTGTTCTCTTCAGCATTCTTGTCTCCTGACCTTTCTACAAGCCCAGTAATCAAAGCCCGACTCTCTGCAGATGGCCTGGGAGAACACCAAAGTGCAGCTGATAACTGGGATTGAACTCTTATTGCTGTCAGGGGCCCAGGACAGATGCTGGGGCAGCTTACACACCAGGTAAAAATTAGGCTCCCTGGGGAGGCTGACAGACAGGGAGAGTCTGAGAAAGAGAGGGAAGGAGGGAGAAGACAAGGGAGGAAAAGGAAGAGGCCAGTGAGCCTGGGGTTGGGTCAGGAAAGGAATGGGCTAAAGAGGTCCATCCGGAGTGGACTCCAGCCATGTGGGGTTTCCCAGAACCCCACAATAGCCTCCAGAGGAGAGACAGGAGTCCAGTGTTCCCAAGTAGGCTGCCCTGCTTCTCCCAGGCAGTTCCACCCCTTTTGCGCCCAGCTGCAGCGCTAGGGGGCCTGGCTGTCAGCACCCACCTCCTGAGTGTCCCTAGCTTGGCTCAGTCCTCCTCAGCCCTGGGCCTCAGTTTCCTCTGAGGAAGCCTGTTTAGTCCCCTCACTGGCTGCTCAGGGCACATGCACAGAGATAGATGGGGGCGGGGAGGAAGAAGGAGGGGGGCTAGGGCAGAAAGAATGAGCCAGGACTGTGGCTCTGTCCATCGGGTGAGCTCAGACCTGTGATGAGACATTTCCTGGTGTAAAGAGCAAGAACTTACCCTCACAGCACCGCTGAGGTCAGGACAGGATGGGGACTCTTCTTAGGGCCTGCCTCACCAAGGCTAGATGAAAGAAGCAGCACCCTTGGAGCCAATCTTACTATAGCCAGTAACACAAGCCCGGCACCAAGCCAATTCAGTTAAGCATCCTGCTGTAGTGGCCAAACCCAACTGAACACCTCCCTAGTCCTGGCCTTCATGCAGGCAAGCACATGCTAGAGGCCACACTGACTAGCTATGAGACCTTAGGCAAGTCACTTAACCTCTCTGGGCTTCAACTTTGCTCTTCTGTCAAAAAGGAATGGAGGACACAGAAAGCACCGAGGATTGTTGCAGAGTGTCGGTGCCTCGGCAGATGCCAAGCTCTGAACAGTGTGTGCCGGGTCCACAGCAAATCCTCAGTAAACGTGGCTATGAGTAAGTGATGAGGATGACTGCATGCCTGCCTTGTCACCCTTGATGAGGGAGGGGGTGTGGCTGTGGCTACAGTCACCATGCCCGGATGATCTCACCTGATCAACCACCGTCTCTGTGCAGAGAACACTGCCAATTAGTAGTTTTCTAATCAACACCCCAAGTTTCACCCAACTAGTGGCAGAGGTCCCTGTGACACCAAATGCTGTGGCTTGCCTGTGACATTATTTTGCACACACACACCCCATGCCAGCCCTGCAAAATGTTTCCAAGCATTCTGGGAAGGAGACGATAGAACACTCCCCCTGGGGTGGGGGCCAGAGGGGCAGATGCCCAGCTGCTTCACCCAGGCAGTACAGATCACACGGAGTCACCCCACCCTCCAGCCGGGGCCAGGCATGGGGCCAGAACACTGCACCCTCAGCTGGCTGCTCTGAAGCCCCTCTCTCTGGGATACTGTGGGAGCAAATGCTGAGCCACAGCTGGGGCTGGAAGTAGGCGAGGCTCAGTTGGCTGGGACACCTTCCCTAGCCTCCGGCAAGATCCCGAATGGGATGCAGGGGTGAGAGAGCTCAGTTACTAAAGTGCTGAGCAAGCATGAAGACCTGGGTTCGATTCCTAGAACCCATGTTAAAGTAAAATACAGAGGCTGTGCATGGGGGGGGGGGGGTGCTTGTGATCCCAGCCCTGAGAGGCAGAGGCAGGAGGATTCATGGGCATCACTGGCCAGTCAGCCTAGCCTGCTTGGCAAGTCCTAATACCCGCCCCCCCCCCCCCGACGCACACACCCTTCAGAGTGTTATCTTGTCTCCATACGTGTATATACACATGTGATCTTAAATCAGTTGGCTGGTAAAATCTGTCTACCACTTGCAAAGTCCCAGGCCATGCTCAACAATAAGCCTGGATACTAATGAGCCTCTGCCCCTGTTACCAGGTTCTGTGGGAACAAGAGGAGGCTGTGGAGGGGGACACCTGGCCCAGCTGGCTGGGGCTAGGTCACAGATGGCCAGTAGGCTTTGCCTGGTGTGTTGGCTCCAGTGGACTGGGAGTACAGCCTGGAGCCATGGGTGGAGAAGGACTAAGAGGTCTACGCAGGCTCAGGGACGTTCACTGAGTGATTAGTAATGTCTGCCACCACTGGGCAGGGAAGCCAGCACTGTGTGCTGGGTCTGCATTTCCTTTCTCTGAGCAAAATGTCATTTCAGGCATATCCAGGAAGTGCCACAGGCAAGTCAGAGCAGGGAGAGAGTTCTCATGGCTCCAGAGATCTCTTCAGAGGACACTGAGAAGAATCCAGAAGGATTTGGAGTAAGGGGAAAAGACATCTTTCTGGGAGTGATCAAACTGTGAAACTGGTTTCCGGCAGATAGAACTTTGTTTTGACACTTTCGCTTCCCGCCACCTTCCCGCAAGGCGTGGCTCACCCAGTGAGCCTTCATCGTGTTTGGAGTTATCTGACAAGCACAGACACTGTGACAACGCTCCTTGACTTGATCCATCCTGAGAAAACTTGGTATTTAAAACAAAACAAAACTTCAAGTCTCTCCACTTGGAACATCAACTCTGGCTAGTTCTTCGAAGCTTCCCAGAGCATTCATTGCTGCAAGACTCAAGGCCCTGCCAAGCTTGCCGGGAAAGCCATGCCTGCTAAAGACCATGGGATGGGAGCTAGGCACACATTGTGTCAGGGATTGACTACCGATAAACTAGCAGCTAACTAGAGAGCAAAAGGGATGCCATAGAGGAGACACTGCCCATACATCTCTCCAGGAGGGTCATGCCCTGGCCCTCGGATGCTAGTGTGAGGAAACTCCTTTGGACCTGTCTTCCCAGTGCACCACAAGGGCCCGAACTTCACTCCAGCACAAAAGGGGGCAGCAACGTGGGATAGACTCAGTGGGATGCTGGGCTTTGCTGGAGCGTGCCTAAGGCCTGTTTGCTTCCTGAGGCTCAGGCAGCTGCTGCCTACCCGGGACACCACTGCACATGTAACCCACCCTGTCTTGTCACGCAGCCTGCTCCCTTCAGAGCCCACCTCCATCCACAGCCCAGCGTTTTCATCTCTTTGCCACCGCTTTGATCTCTTCTCTCAATAGCCCGATAAAAGGTCCCTGTGCACCTACCCTACAGATGTAGACATTCTCATAAGCCAGTCTTTAGGGGGGTGGGGTCTGCCTGCACTTTGTCAAGCATCTTGGCCCGGAAGTTTCTACTATTTCCTTTCCCAAGGATTCCCCAAGGTGGAAGAAATGAGTCACAGAAAGTGGGAGGGAGGTTCAGTGACCCTGGTTTCCTTATCTATAAAGTGGCATAGGGAGGATAGTGCCAGTTGCTTCAGAGTGGGGAGGATGCCATCCTGGTCATATATTATGGCCTTGGTGCACCCTATGAGCCACTCCAAGGGTCAAGGACATCAAAGGTACTGGGAACAGTACTGTCACTGGAGTGGGAATCTGTGGCCTCCCTCAGTCTCCAGGCCTGGGGCTGCAAGACACCTCCATAACCCCCAGTCCTGGGCCTCCAAAATGAATCTGGCTGTTTTCAATCTCAATCCTACCCCTCCCTCTCCTTCTCTCCTCCTCTCCCCCATCTCCTGCCCAGTTCTAGCCTAGATGTCATTTGATTTTCTCCATTTGGGACATTTCAACCTCTTTATTCACAGCAAGGAAATCAACTGTCAGGCAGCTGGAGTGCTCATTAAGGGTCCCAGACCATAGAGAGGCGCTGGCAGGGAGTCAAACCTCACTCCCAATCCCCAGGTCTTCTCCCACTGATAACCCATCCACCAGGGTCTGGGCCTCTCCAATCTGCCCTTGCTCACTTCTTCCCAAGTGTCCTTTCTCACTAGGTCCTTCTTCTTGGCCTGCCCTCCCAGGTCGCTCTTTCTCAGATCTACAAACTCAGCCTCCGGAGCTGGGGTGTGGTGGCACACACCTTTAATCTCAGGCAGAGGCAGGTGGATCTCTTGTGAGTTCTGGGACAGCCAAGTTACACAGAGAAACCCAGTCTCAAAAACCAAACCAAACCATCTATCTCTGTCCTTGGCATACTTCTCTTGGTGTCTTCCTGGATTTCAGAGACCCAGCAGACCGGCACACAGGCCCCTTCTGAAGTCAAGGAGGGGCTCGGGCTCTTCCGCCCCAGAACTGGAGCCTTCCCTCTGCCTCATCACCTCCTGCTGGTCGGGCCATTCCTTCATGCATTTTGTTGTCTGCCACCTCCTGAGGGCCTCACAGCAGTCCCAGGATGGAGATGGAGCCTGGATTTAGTAGAGAGGAAACCTAACTGCAGGGGGCGGTATGTCTCACTCTAGTCACACAGCAGCTGGAATTTAGTCTTAGTCCCTAAACCCTCTCGCTCTGTGTCTCACTTCACGGCCATTTCACAAAAATGCTTTGAAGCAGTTGAGCACTATGTCTCTCATATCCTGGTCTAGCCTCACCTATTCCTTATTTATTAACTGAAGAATTATTTATCGTGTGTGTGTGTGTGTGTGTGCGCGCGCGCGCGCGTGCGCGCGCGCGCTTAAGTGTGTATGCACGAGCACTCCTGTGGAAGCTGGAAGTCTGAGGGTTCCAGGGATTAAACTCAGATCATCAGGGTTCCTCAGCAAGCTCTTTTACCCACTGAGCCATCTTGTCAGCACTCGCCTCTTCCTCTCTTGTTCTTTGCCTATACTTGGGAGAACACCCCTGTGGAAAGAGAAACAAAGGGTGGGTCCTCCTCCAGTTGCCTATTGTAGTGATTGACCTTATCAACTTGACTGAATCACGGACAGTCTAGAGGATGGAGACGCACCCTTGGGTGTGTCTGGGAGGTCAACTCCAAAGAGGATTAAGTCAGGGCAGAGAAGACTGGGCAAAGCAGCAGTACCTGGAGGTCCTCAGGGACCTGGAGACACACAGAGAGGGTTCTTCTGCCCCCTCCGGCCACAGGGACTGAAACCTCCCAAACCGTGAGCCAACACAAGCCCTTCCCCCCTTGTGTTGTTTCAGGCAGGTCATTTTGGCTGACAGCCGCCTCAGTGCCTCCCCATAGAGACTATCACTGTATCTGATGCCTGCTTGAGGGACTCCAGCTCAATTTTTATTTCATTCCAAGTCACATATCCTAGTGATTACTGTATGAGACCATGCGGCCTTTAAGTGTCCCTCCAGCAGCTCCCAAACTACAGGCTCCATGTTTGCCGGGTTCCATGACAGGACAGCTCCCTCCAACACCCCTGATTACTGCCTCCAAGGATCATCACCCCTGCGGCCAACATGTCCTCTCCGCCCTGTCCCCAACATCACTCTAGGCCATGGTCCCCAAACAGCCTCCTGTTGGCCCTAATTCCCACTTGAAAGACGTAAACTTCTCCTATTCAATCCTTTGGCAGCTAGCTCCCCATTTCCCCTTTACCCATCTGGCAATCTCTCAGGCCCTTTGTGACTGGGGTTGCTCATTGCATCCAACCTCACCTTCAACCATGCCACTCTCCCCAGTCCCCAGGGTTTAGGTCATTCACAGCCCCACTGCAGCTCTGCCCCAATCTCCAGCTCCTCCAGTCAGAAGCTGTTCCCTGGAGTGGTCATGTCTTAACACAAAGCCTGATGCTCAGCCCCTTGTGCCAGGTGAACTCCTGTTCACCCTTCGCCTTGTCCTAAAAGTCACCTCCTCAGGAAGCCCACCCTGGTTGCCAGCACTATCACATTATGTTGTTTGTAAGACAATTCCTAACCACTTTCCCTCCATTGCTGTAGTGTTTCCCACACGGGGTCAAGTTCAGGAAGATTGCGGTGTTCCCAGGGCAGCTGTTCCATCCCTCTGCAGCTAGCTCTCAGCAAACAGTGGCAAGAGGAAGGGGTAGAGGGTCGGGAGGCTTAGCTCTAACACTGGCTGTCACCATATGGTCCTGAGCAGCCCACAGCCTTTCTCAAGATCTCGGTTTTCCCCCTCTGTAATATGTGGGTCATTCAGATCATCTCTGGGGGTGCTTCTTGGTTCTAGAGGCTAGGATCTAGAACTCAGCGTAAACATGAGCAGGGCATGCAACATGAAGAGCAACGTGGAGACGAGGGGACATGGCGCTGGGAGGGCTTGGGAAGGGCTGGGGCCCATGAGAGGGTGTTTGCCACCCGCTTCACAGCCCAGCCAGTGCCCCCATACTCAGCCAACCAGCCAGAGCCCAGAGCCTGCCTCCAGGCCCAAGGAACTGTGGGTGACCTGACTGGGTCTTCGGAGTTCTGGCCAGTCATGACTGTAGCAGGAGCAGTGGCGCCCCACTCACACAGCAGGGACTTGTCGGGCCACCCTTTACGCTGTGGCCTGTGACTTCCGCCATGGGGCCGCCTAGGGGGTGGCACCCCGGAGAAACCTAACTGCAAGAGACACAACCCTGTAAGAGCCTGACTAATACTTGCCATCATTCTGTGTGCTCCGAGAGGTTACGGTATTTTTTCCCCAGGTTGCACAGCATCCAAATAAACCCTAAGGTGGGTACGAACCCCGGGGCTGCTGCCTTCAACACCCTGTTGGTTACTATCTCACATCCTTCCCACTGTGCTGCTCAGATTCTCTTAGCCACCAGCCCTCTCCACCTTGAAGCACAGCTTCTCCTCCTTATCACCCACACCCTGCTCCACTACAGTCTATTTCCTACCTCCCCCGGGAGAATGCCACTTCCGTGCACACTCTCAAGATTGCCCCAGTGAAGAGACCCGTTAGTAACTCCCAGGGATGAAGCACATTTGGGGACAAGGAGAGAGGGCTGCATCCACTTCCCAGCTGCAGGGGGAGGGGAGAATTAGGACCATTCCAGAGGCCACACAACTCCACTTGGGCCCTAGGGGCCAGGAACAGCAACCAGGGGCTAGCTAAGAGTAATCCGCTTTAGACACTGTCCCTTTAGGTCCTTAAATGGCTTACTCTCTTGCCCTACTTCCAAACGTGATCATAAAAACCAGGCAGCACCCACCCTCGTGGTGTGGAGAGGACCGCAACAGCCCGGCAAGCCTCCCGCAGCCCACTTCCCCCACCAGCCCAGGCTGCCTCCGCGCACCTTTCGCGCGCCCTGACTTCCTCCACCTGACCGCCGCGTGCGCAGGGCGCCCCCAGCGCAAGGCCCTAGGGTCCCCCGGAGCTAGGAGGTCCCGCGCCTGCCGGCCTGGTGCCCTGGATCTCTGGCAGCTTAACGGCCGTCCCCGCCCGCAGTCCCACTGCAGGCCACCTGAGCGCCCGTGCAAGTGCGTGCCCGCCCGCACCGGCTCGTGGAGTCCCGGGACTGCGCGAGGGGCCGCCTCCGGGAGGGAGATAAAAGCCAGCAACAAAGGGCACAAACCTCGTCCAGCAGTTGGTTGACTCTTCCCAAAATAGCCTTCTCCATCTGCTGCTCCCCGCGCTCCGCTTCCAGGCGCAGCACCCGGGCCTGCAACTCGGCGGTCCGAAAGTGGGCAAGCAGGCTGAGAGCCAGCGAGCACAGCGCCAACGCCAGCAGTCCGCAGCACCCGGGGCTCGGCAGCCTCGCGCACTGCTCCGCCAGCGCAACAGTCCCGGGCCCGGGCGCGCCCAGCTCCCCAGGGCCGCGGGTACCGGAGGCTGCCGCTTTGCGGGCGCGCTCCGCCACCATCCCCTCGCGTCTTGAGAGCCAATAAATAAATAAATAGAATAAATAAAAACGAGATCCAAGAGGCGTGGTCCAAGCTGCTAGGCAGGGGGAAAGGAGACCAGCGTGGCTGGAGAACGTCCCTTTCCTTTGCTCTCCAAAGAGGACAGAAAATGAGCAGTCGGAGTCAGGGACAGCCAAGAGCCACCAGCAGGCGCGAACGGGGTACGCCAAAGTAGGAAAAAAAAGTGATTTCGAAGAATGTTCCAAGTTGGGGATCTGGCCCCGCTCCCTCTTCAGAGTCCTCGGGTTGGTGCGACGCTCGGGGTCCTTCTGGGTTTTTTGCGTCTCCCAGTGAGAGCGGCTGTCAGTCCCCGGGCGAAGGGGCGCGCATGCAGGGCCCCATGGGCAAAGGTGGGTCGTGGCCGCAGTGAGCCGCGCTGGGGCCGATTCCGGCGCCTCTGTAACTTGACACAGCCGGCGCGGCCGCGCGGATCGGATGAGCGCCGGGCGCTACTTCCCAAACTAATCTCCCGCGCCCCTCCCTCGCCCTCCTCCCTCGCCCTCCTCCCGCTCCTCCTCCGCCTCCTGCCGGGCCGCCGCTGGGGTTTGTTTATTTATGCAAAGTCGCCTGGGGTGGGGGGCGTGGTGTGCGGGGCCCGCCGACCCCGTTAGCCCCCCATCCCGTGCTCCCGGTGTCCTTTGAAGTGACACTTGGGGTTATTTATAAGCGGGGAGGGGGTGTGAAATGGAGGTGGGGGCTCAGCTCCTCTTCTTTTCCATAGATTCACACCCAAGACCTCAAAGTCCTAGGGACCCGGCATCACAGCAACCCGCTTTCCCAGAACATCCGGGACCCTCCCGTCACCCAAGGCACAGCACCACAGCACCCTGCTTTCCCGGTGCCTCGGGGATCCTCACGGCAGCCCGTTGAGTCACTGTCCAGGTGGCAGCATGGTCCTGTATGTCCTGAGCGGGGAGGTTCGCCGTGACTGCTTCAATCTCGCCCTCACCCCCTCCAACCCAGGGCCCACTCTTCGCAGGGGTCTTTGGTGGAACCGTCCCACCAGCCACAGATTCATCCTGGAGTGGAAAGACCAGTCAGTGTTCCGGTGCAGCAGCGCTGGCGCCCTTTTCTCTTTCAGGACCAGACCTAAAGGACTACGGAACAGAAATTCATCAGGGGTCAACGCCCACCGCCCACGTTTATTCTAGGGTGCCTGACGGGCATGAGGCCTCCCTTTCTACCCGATGTTGATCTGAGACCCATAGCAGACCAGATGACCCAGGAGCCCAAGCCATCAAAGGCCAGCAACTCCCACACACTCACACTCATCTCTCCTGCAACCCCCTCAGAGCTAATCCCATCCAGCCTAGCGGCTTCATGGGCTGTAGAAGAGCTAGGCATTCTGCATTTGGTATTTCCTCTTTTCTCACCTCCCTCCCCCCTATGAGGGATTTCTGTCACTAGAGTCCTCTTTCCTTGTGCCTCCAGAAATTCCTGCAAATGAGGTGGTGGGGCTGAGCTTTCTGGAGCATCAGGCCAGGGTCCAACGTCTGGCCTTTGACCTGTGAAATGGAAGTGGAGGTGACAGGGCTGTGGAAGTGGATGCCCTTTCCCAGGAACAGGACAAACTTAACAAACATTAGTGTGTAGTGCGCTTCTATGGTTGAGAGCTTGTAATACAATACTTACATAGAGTTAAGCTGCCACAGAAAGCTAGAGGGCTAGAAAGCAATGGAGGGCACAGAGCTGATGGCCAGGAACTCCCAGAGTCAGCGTTTCCTTAATGTGTCTCATCAGCAAGCAGGCCTCTGGGTCTCCAGCCTTGTCAAGGGATGTCTCCTCCAAGTACGAAAGCCTGAGAACACAGTGGCACTAAAGACCGCTAGGTGGCGCTGAAGAGTTTGGAATGTTCACTGCAGAAAACTGAGCAACTTGAGGCTTCTGCAAGCCTTGCCGAGGGCTGTCTGTCTGAAAGGCGCTTGAACTGGGTTATTCGTATCACTGAGCCAACGCAGCAAAACTGAAAACGTTTACGGCTGCAGCATTTTTTTTTTGAGATTGGCGTTTCAGGCTCGGGGTGTCATGGTAGCCTGAGCGGCAATGGAAAAAAAAAAAGTCTAACCCCAAAAAGGCTCTGACAGACCCCATGCAGTCAGAAAAACCAACTTTTCCAACAGTGAGTATAAAATAAGACAGGTGTAGTGGCATGTGCCTCTAATTCCACCACTTGGAAGACAGAGGCAGGAGGATGGCAAGTACATGGTCATTCGTGGCTACATGGTGAGTTTGAGGGTAGCATGGGCTATATGAGATCCTGTTTCAAAGAAAAACCAAATAATTAAATAAAATGGGTTTATAATAAAAGATCTAGCTTTTCAGGAGGTCTCAATGAGGCAATGAATTCAAAGCAAAGAGTAGGAACTCTCAAAAAATGGCGTCTCATAGGAACTCATGGCTGCTGGTGCTGCCTGACATACACCCCGCCCTCTTCCCAGTCTATGGAATGGGAACAAATTGGACCCAGGAGGACAAGGTGATGACAGATAATCTCCACCTCTCCACAGCTGGAGGGAACTTTGCAACAAGCAAGCCTTTGCCGGAGCTGAGGGACCCCTCTCCCCTCTTCTTCTGCACTGTCTCAGTTTCTTCTTCTGGTGATGCTTTGTTTTTTGTTTCTGTTTTTTCATGTTAGGCATCTCCTTCTCTGATCAGTGTTGCAGTAAAATTAGGTTTAGTTTGAAGAGCTAGGATCTAGGACTCAGGGATGAAAAGAGGCTAAGCCATGTCCACACACAGCTAACACGTAAGGCAGGGAAGTGTACAGCCACGAATGGAAGAGGCTGAAGAAGGACCTTTAGGGTTGTCCAAGCAATTCAGCAGAGATTCCAGACAAAGGAATTTCCGGTTTGTAGTGAGAAGGTCCTCCAATGCTAACCAAATAACTTGACTTTGATCTGCAGCTTTGTTGTGTAACAGTTTCCTCCCAGATTGAAACATCCCATCCTTCAGGGAAGCTCCTTAAGCAGGAAGGTAAACAACTCAACCAAGCAGGAGGAAGTCCCTGAAACTGACCAGATTCATTTGTCCCTGTTGTATGTGTGCTAATCAAAGTCCCCCCTTCCCCACTCCATCCCTGTCCCCCCATCCCCCTATACTTTCTTCCCCACTCCCATCCTTTCCCCCATCTTTCCCTCCCTTCCACTCCCCCTGACCCCAGTAAGCAATTAAAGCTGAATTCAGAAGGAAGCTGAACTGGGAAGAAGACTCTCAGAAGAAAAAAGCTGTCAAGAACGGAGAACCGACTGCCTGGAGGAGGTTTAGACCAGAGTCACTTGGAAAGGGCACTCCGCAGCTTGGGGAGCTGCCTGCAGCCTATGCAGTGCTCTCCAGATTCCCAGCTTCGTGAGCTGTCACCCATGCTGTGGTGAGCTTTGGTGGTACAACTGTCTTTGAGTCATTTCTGCTCCTGTAAATCTCACCTGGTTTTTCTGTAAGTAACCCCAATAAAATGCGTTGGTTCCCTAAGTTGGACTTTGGTGATATCTGCACTTTGGTCTGTGGTGAGTTCCCTATGTGGCGTGAATGAACGTGTGTTTCGTCTCCCCAGGTTTGTCACAGAAAACAGCTACAGACAGAGGAAAACCTGGATTCTGGAGTGGAGAGCCCAGGCAAGCCATGCCCCTATGCGTGCAGTCTGGGCTCTTCTTCAGGAATGTTCTGTGGTTTCCTGCTTTGTGCATCTGCCCTGCTCTCCGCAGCTTTGGACCTTGCCTTTTGCACTCAGCCCACGCCTCACTGGGGGTGGATGTGTGTAGTGGGGGAGGGCACTTTTATGATTGAATCCCATTTTTCTTCTTCTCCCCGCGGCCTTGACAGCGCCTCTCTTCCTGACACCACCACCACAGCGCTGACCCTCGTGTGTGGCTGTCACCTCCCTGTCTCTCTTACTGCTGCTCAGTTCTCCCAGAGCCCTGCTGCCCCATGTGAAAGGTGGCAGTCAGGCCTCTTGGGAATTACCACACTGCTTCTGCTGGGCGGTTCCGAGCATGGCTCTCGTCAGAGTCACATGTGAGGCCTACCCATTGTTTCATCCTACTCCAGTCTGTCCCCCATTCTTCCAGCAGCGGTGCCCGGGTTTCCCACCCTCTCAGTCCTTGCACCTCACTAGCATAGAGTGAGCCCTATATGCGAGGCCCTCTATGACTCATGATGGTTAATATGATGCATCTGACGGAATTTAGATCACCAAGGAGGCAAACCTGTAGGCACAGCCATGAGGAAGTTTCTGGATTAGATTGAGGTGGGAAGTCCCACCCTACAGGTAGACAGCACCCTCTCAGGGGCTGGGGTCCTGATGACTAAAAAGGAGCAAGCAAGCTGGGCCCTCGCCCTCCTCTGTGCTGGCTTCTTGACTGGAGACAAGCTTGACTGGGCGCCTCATGCTCCTGCTCCCACAAATTCCTGCCTCAATGGGTTATACTCTCAAAGCAAACCTTTCCCTTTTAGGTAGCCTGCCTTCAGGGAGTCTGCAGTGACAAGAAGGGTAACATCCATGAGGTCACCTTCTTCCCTGGCTGCAGGAATGGAGCAGAGAGAGGTGGGTGTGATGGGTATGGCAAGAATCTTCTGAACAGACAGCTGTCTGAATTTCAGGGCACTGTGGCGCCATTGCTTAGGTAAGATGAGGCCTGGGGTGGGGTGGGGCAGGCAGGGGTGGGAGCTTCAGTCTTGAGATGCTCTTTGGGTCCTTGGCCTCTGCTGAACTGGAAGTTCATCCAACTGAACTTTGAATTCTCCCAACTGTGGGACAGCTCTGTTCAAGCCAGTTTGCGGTGGATCACATAGATATGTCCACACGCTTCTGCCTAGGAAACTCTTGGAGTTTAGTGGTAGACCAGAGAGGCAGAGATTCCCATCATGCTCCTAGAAGGCCCAGCTCATCCAGGAATTGGAGGGGCCAATAAGACAGAGTCATGGCTCTGCCCACACCTCACTGTGGTGGGTATGGGGAGTTAGTTCCTATGTCCTCCTGGGCTGGTTTTGTTCCACACAACCCCCAGCTCATGTGCCCCTTGTTTCTCCCATCTAGCTGCCCTCCTGGGTCTCTGAGAACTCCCCTTCCTCTCTCCACCGAGCCTCCTTAGTACTTTCTGCTTTTTGTTCCCTTAGCTGGAAGCCATTGGTGGTACCCTGTGGCTTCCTGCTGGAAGCTTGATCTCTCTCACAATGACCTTGGCCCAGGTGACCCTGGCAGGAGGCTGACATCACCTGATTTGTCCCAAGCCCAAGGCCCAAGGGTTTTCCCTTTGTGGTCCCCATGGCTGGCACAGCTAAGCTAAGCAGGTCTTCCTGGTCCATGTTTCTTTCCCAGCCTTATGTTCCCTGGTGGGAAATCCCCACTTTGCAGTCCTGCTTCCGAGGCCTATGTGAGGTGAGCAATGAGGGAGAAGACCCTATTGGCTCAGACTCCGTTGGCTTTGTGGAGTTCAGTTACTC